CCCATTGACTGAAGATGTCCCATGCATGGAAGGATAAGGTCTTAATAGATTAAGACCAAACATTTAGAACTTTATGGATGTCCAAAGTGATAAAGTTCACGAATTTATGGATCTTAGGCATGTTAGATATCTGGATCTAAAGTTTGGGCTTAAGTGCTTAATCCATTAAGCACTTAACAAGGTTTTGGCAAACTGTCCAGTACGCCCAGCGTAAATCCAATACGCCCAACGTACTAGGTTAACCACCTCGATGGGGGTCAATGTCTGGATGAGTACGCCCCGCGTACGTCCTTTGTTGGGCCATTGGCAAATAGACTTCGGGTTTTGGGCTATTTATGGGCTATCCAGATTTGGGCCTTTGCTGGAATTTGTAAATAAGATGTTTTGGGCCAGTTGGTGGTAGTGGATCATGGGGTTAGGCCCAATAAGGAGGTTGGCCCCAATTTAGTAAATTGGGTTAAATAGTGGATTTATGCTTATGGACTTTCAAGTTAAGGACTTGGTGTGGGGCTTTGGCCCAACAAAAGGGAATGGACTTAATGAGTTATGAGGACACTTAATCAAGGGAGTACTCTTGGGTATTAACATAGTATTTATTATTATGTGACAGTTCGAGATTCCTAGTTAGACAACAGCCAGAGATTTGCAGTATTTTAGCACTACTTGCCAGGTGAGTTACCTCACTATACTAAGGGGTCTAAGGTACCAAGGCCAGCCCGTTGGATATGATATCCTAGCAGTTGGTAATATGTTGAGTATGAGTTAGTGTTGCATGATAGTTGCTGTGCCAGTTAGGTAGATTTGTAGGACTACCTGTGTTATTATGTGATTATTTGTATGCACATTAGTTGTGTTATATGTTGACATATTATGTGGGGTGGGTTGAGGTGATACTGCTCCGTGCGGTAACCAACAAACCCGGGAGCATTCCAGATACGAGCTGAGGGCCAAGTGGGTCATGCAAGACTTATACTGTGGGCTCGGAGCATTCCAGAGCTGAGGGAGACTTGTACTGTGGGCTCGGTGGTAATCCAGATGTGATCTGAGGGCCCAAAAGGCAATCCAAGCTCACACTGTGGGCCCAGGGGTAATCTAGTCTGTAAAGTTGCGGACCTAAGCATAAGTGAATTCACAACATAACTTGATGTTATAGAACTTTGAAAACCTAGAGTACATGTTTAGGTAACTTATATGTAAGTATACATGGAAACCCTTATTGATTTAAGTAAATATAAGCCTAACACTTAAATAAATCATAACACTTCTTAGCATATATATATATATATATATATATATATATATATATATATATATATATATATATATATATATATATATATATATATATATATATTTAGATTTAGGTTTTAGGAATCAAATCCCAAAACTAAAACCAAAAACACTTGCTTTTGGAATGCCATGACCGAAAAACCTTTTTGTTTGACTTCATGACCGAAATCCCTTCATGGAATAGAGCTATGACTGAAATCTCTTTCTTACGCCCATTATATGACCGAAATCTCTTGTTTTGGTGAAAAGTTGGCCGAAATACCTTAAGTAATTAAGATGTTTTAGCCACTTGATCTGTGATTTGTTTTCCCAATACGATAAGTTACACATACCAATGCAAACCCGTATCTCATTCACCCTATATAACATACGACTTAGGATCCATTTCAAACACTTCCAGTGAACTAATATTATCAGTAAAACATTTACCACAATTCTCTCTCAAATATCAAACCCATTTCCTTCATATTAAGATCAAGCAACTCCAAGAGATCTACACTTCAAAGTAGTTATAAACTTTGGTAAGTTTTACTCATAAAACTAGTGGTTATACAACACTTTAACTATTAGTATCATCTTGTTCACACATTATTATGTGTTTAACACCATTAGGATTAAGACATCATCCCCATATTCTAACTCGAAGAGCACTGCTTTTATCTCGTTTATCAAACCACGACTACACATAAGGTGAGTTCATACTCTTACACTTTTCCAAACTTTTTCTATGCTTTTTTTTTTTTTTTTTTTTTTTTTTTTTTTTTTTTTTTTGGGGGGGGGGGGGGGGGGGGAATACAAGTAAAACACAAGAAATATTGTGTTTAAAAATATAAATCGTTTATTACTTTCTCTTATACTTTATAAGCACTTTACGTAAAAATGTTAGATAACGTTATTACTAAACGTATAACTCTTAAAGTTGTTAAAATACAAACGTTTTTCATTTCAATAGAACATATAGTCTTAAACTATAATAGGTATAGTTTTTGGGTCGTTTTACAATATTTTTCATCATAAACAATTTCTACGGAAAAGTTACGTTTTCAGTTATAAGAAAAAGGGTTATTCATTTCACTATGAATAAACTAGTTAATACAGGATTGTGAGTCACTTACTTTATTGTACCAACTATAGTACCCGTTAGAACTTTATAACCAGGGTCTCCTGGAGGGAGAGTGTGAATTTGTGTATAGATCTATACGAGACTGACAATCCCGTGCCCTGACTGTTAGCTACAGTCAGAACGAAAGTTCGGGGGTGATAAATGTCATAACGTTCCGATGCCTAAAGAACCTCGTATAGACCATTAGTTGTAAGCATGGTTATAATAACTCTCACGATAAGCATTAACTAAATATTTACGTAGTGATATATTTTCAAACAGCCTTAAAGGGTATTAACTCTATGATTCCTTAGTTTATACATCAGGGTTATATATAAAGAAGATACAATATGCAGAGGAATGTGTGATTTTCGCCTTACTTCCTTTTCGTTGTTTGGTTGTAGACTTAGGGCAGAATCACACAATCAACTGTCTGTTCGATATTTGTTTATATATAGCTAATATACACTAAGTAATCATAGTAGGAACTAGTATGGGTCACATTACTTATATGAATTGGTTACATTACTTATATGAATTCAATGCGGCATATTTATTACTTTAAGCATAAGAAACATATATATTTTGGTCTTAAGGCCTAACATTACATTCTATTTTACTAAGAAAATATAGGATTTTCTGAAGGAACACATTAACCATATCTAAAAGGACCATTTTTGTTAACTCTATGATGACCTAGTAAATATGTTATATAAAATGAAGATCCGATAGGTAGTGAAAAGTGTGAATTCCTCCTTACTTACTTTTCCTTGTTTGGTTGTGGACTTAGGGCTAAACCACACATTTAATTGTCCAGTCGATCTGGATTATATAGAACTTGTATGCAGTAAGTGATCGTAGAAGGAACTAGTGTGGTCACATTACTTATCATTAATTACTAAGAAAATATAGGATTTTCTGGAGGAACACATTAAGGTTTTTGATCGGTCTATATTTATAACATAATAAATTGTACTTAATATGTTGAATTGATGTATAATTGTCCAAGAATGGCACTACTTTGACGAAATGTCGAACATTATATGCAGACAACTACTTAGTGCTAAAATGGGTGGAACCCGCAAGAAAAACGAGCAAAAGGAAGTTAACAAGCATGGGAGATGAATTGCTAAAGGAATGAAAAAAATGGTGCTGAGAAATTTGACCACTCTTCAATGTTTTGATAATATCTCAAGATCTAGAGCTCCGATTGACATGAATGAACAAGTTCTGGAAACTAGACAAAATTTCCTACAACTTTCATGTTTTGCGTTTTTACTGGTTCTACCGTTGTCATCACCAAAAAGGGGAAACAAAGATGAGAGACGTCTCCTAGGACGTCCAACGTCCCACATCGCACAACGTCCAACATCCAACGTCCCACATCGCCCAATTTCACCAATTTCTGCCACACACTATAAATAGGGACCTATGCATTCGTTTTTAGGGTTCCCACCTTCATTTTTCAGAGCTTTTTCCTTCATTTTTGAGGCTTTTAAACTCTTGGAAACACAGATTCATTCTATTTCAATCCGGATTCAAGGCAAGAGTTCATCGATTTCATCATCAAGCTACAAGTGAAGATCATTTCATTGGTTAATCTTCATCAATTCTTTATTTTCCAGAAACTATTTCTTCTTCCCCAAGGTTTAATTGTTCTATACTTTGATAATCATTAGGTTACATTTGTTTGATGATTCTAATTTTATTCATGAATTTTATAAATCATTTCATTTATTTCATCTAAGTTATTGTTTCTATGAATTCAATGTAAGGCTAAGCCATTAGGGTTACTTCTAGGGATGTTTAGGACTTTTAGATGAACACACTTGATTATTACTTGGTTCTAGTTAATTTCAATTGTTCTTTTATGTTTCATATGATAATCTTTTGGTAATAATGATTGAAATTGGGTTCTACGAATTGTTTGATTTCATAACTAAATTAGTGCATTGTCAATTCATCGATTGTTCCAAATTCAAGTAGTTTAGGAACAATGACAATTGGTTGAATCCACATGTGTTATTCCAACTTGTGATATTAAATCTTAATATTGTAATAGGTAATTACAAGACACTTTATTGCCAATTCACTTATTGTTCTTAATCCAAATAGACATAGGGAGTAAGAAAATTAGTTGAATGAACATATTATGTACCAAAAACCATGTGTTACAAGTTAATAAACCCCAACTGCATCTAAGTAATTGAATTAGGATTCTAGGGAAGAATGTGTGTGAATCTAAATTTTCCATAACTGAACCGGGAGTACTCTAGTTTTCTCATTAACATTTTCATTTTAATTAATAAATTAACAAGCTTTTGTTTGATTTGTGCTTTAATATTTTTTGTGATAATTGCTAGTAATACTTTTGTTTTTATTAATTACTTTGACACAAAGTTTAACCACGAACTCCTCGTGGATTCGACCCAACTTACCCTATCTACTTAGGTTAGTTGGTTTATTGGTGATTGATACAAGGACATCGCTCAGAATTTGGTGCCATTATCGCGGAGTTAGTGCGCTTGAACTATTGTGTTTAAGTTGTTATAGTATTTATTTTCATTTTTAATTCTTGTTTGCAGTTCATGCTTGTTTTACTTATGTTATGCAGGAACACTGGTGCATCCATACAAGACATAGCGGACGCTCTTCACCGCTTGCATTTGATCTGGAAAACGAACGAACGAGTCGCTCAAATCGAGTTGCCAGAAGGAACCTCAACAATACGAGTGTAGATAATGTGGTCGTGGAAGATGTGGTAGAAGGGCATGAGGATGCAGTCAACAATTCTCCACCACTAGTTCCACCAATAGCTCCTCAATTTCCAAACAAGAACAATGAGAATAACAGAAACGACAACCATGCCGATGCACCAGTTATCCAACCAATACAACCACAACTGAACAGAAACAACCGTGGCCAAAATAGTGGAAATGGAGGAAATTGGGCACAAAATATGGGAGGCAATGAAGGAAACCACAATGGTGGTAATGATAGAAATCAAAACCAACATCCTAGAAATGTTGGCCCTCAATTCGATAATGGTGGTAACGATGGTGACTTGGATTTTGATGATGGAAGTGACAATGGAATTGGTTGGAATCAAAACCACAATGGTGGTAATAGGCAAAATCAAGGCAACCGAGGTGGAAATGGAAACTACAACAATAATTGGAACAACCAGAATTTCCAAAACGGTGGCAGCAATGACTACAATGATGGGTTTAGGAATCAAGGCTTTGGGAATCAATACCGAAGGAATCCAAATGGTGGATTCAACAATGCAAATGGAGGATACTACAACAAAGGTAACCAATTTCGTCATCTTTACTTTCCACAAAATAATCAACAATCTGTGGCGTCCCATTTTTAGCCAGGAAAGTATGATGATGCTTCACCTATACTTTTCGCGGAAGGAAATGAGCACCATGTAGAAGTAAGGCCACAATTAATTAGTGTCTTACCTGTTTTTAGAGGTCACAAACTAGATGATCCGTATAATCATGTCTATGAGTTCCTTACAATTGCTAACATGAATACTCCGCGGGGAACTAATAGAGATTCCTTTAGACTTCACTTATTTCCATTCACATTAAAAGAAAAAGCTAAGTGTTGGTTCACTTCTCTTTCCCCCCATAGTATTACTACTTGGGAGCAATTAAAAACTAAATTTTTGCAAGAGTTTTATCCTGCTAGTAAAACAACAGAAATAAGAAAAGCAAAACAAGATTTTTCACAAAAACCCAATGAAGAATTTCATGAGGCATTTGAACGCCTTAAGGAATTATTGCGTTCATGCCCCCATCATGAATTTCCTTGTTGGCAACTTGTACATTTCTTTTATGATTGAGTCAACACTGCCATTCAAACTATGATAAATGCCTCATTAGGCGGCACTATTATGATGCAAAATAGTGAAGACGCTTGGCGATTCTTGGAGCAGTTGAGTCATGGTTCAAAAACAATTACTCTCCTAAGAAACGGGACACCCCAGTTTCATCTGTTGCTTCAGTTGGACTAGACAAAAACTGGAAAAATGAAGTCAAATCTGATATTAATTCTTTAAATAAAAAATTTGACTTACTACTCTCTAGTCTAGGCAAAGAGAAAGGTGTGTTTTTCGTAGGGACAGAAGATATGTGTAAGATGTGGAGATTCAGGATACATTGCGGATGAGTGCATGAGAAGTCAAGAGGATATTAATCAAGTGCACGGATATGGTCAATTGCAAAACAGTCTGCGATCATTTAATCAGAACAACAACCAAGGCGGGAACTACAACAACAATGGACACTAGAACAACAGTCAAGGGAATTACCCAAATCAAAATCAAGTAAAACAGTTCAAGCAGTCCAACTGTATCCAAGGTGGAACATTAAAGAAGAGGAAATTTATAGCAACAAGTTGGATAAAATCATGAAATTCATAACTCAAACATACCAAAAAGTTGACACCAACTCCAAGTCCATTGCTGCTATTGAGAAGTAGATTGCTCAATTGGCGGAGCAAATTGGGAAAAGAGAAGATGGCAAGTTCCTAAGTACCACTTGTCACACCCCCGAACCAGACGGCGGAAACGTCCGAGGGCTATTGTGACTCAATTGAATACCATCACCATGAATATACATGAAACATAACATCATACAATACCAAGCATTGGAATATTACAACTGGTAGCGTTTACATTCAGTACATTGATCCATAATATTACATGCCCAAAAGTAAATTGTTCGGTACTAATTAAAACAACAGCAAAACGTTAATGAGTACATTTCTTTTTCCTTTTCGATTTACCTGTTACCTGAGAATACAAGTATTTTGAAAAACGTCAACATATGAAATGTTGGTGAGTTCATAAGTATTGTTTGAAATAAAGTGGTTTGTATTGTTTAAAAATCACCAGAAAATCCGATATTTTCTGAAAAGAACTTAGTATAAAGAGTGTGAAGATCCGTAAGTATGCTTGTTTGTTTCTATAAATGTAAAAGTACAATTTGTAAAACTCGGTATGTACTCGTAGGTGTGTTAATTGAAAACCCTAGGAAAACCCGATGTTTTCCTAATATTTTGCATTAATGAATTGTATCTTGTTATTTCATTACGACGGGTGTATTCGTTGAGTCCCGGTGACGTTGGATTAATTATAGGTTGTGAATTGTTATAAACACACATTAATGAAAATGATTAGTTTACAACCATGCAAACGATCCCTTAGGCGTCGCTCGCACTATTCACTTAATCCAATCACCCGGACTTCGTGTAGCCCCACAGCCGAGGAGGAAAAGAGGGTGCGAAGTCTCGCTATTTTCCGTAAGTCGTTCAAGGCTATCGTGAATGCGAAGGGCCCTTAGCCCGACTCGCATTTGGTGAATTCTCGACATTACTAGCAGCACCAGAAGGCCCTTGGGGTCCAACAACGCAAAGCCTGTAAAAGTCCTTTTACATGAAATTAGGTCATATAAGACCCAACTACATGTAAGCGAGTTTCCTTCGGGACTAAAGATCATGTCATTGGGCTAGCTAGGCCCGACAAACACGATTTGAAACTTTTGGGCCCAAAGACGGTGTATCGACGTCTGGTGTATTCTCACGTGTGTATTGACTTCCCGAAATTTCCGCGTGTGTATTGAAGTTTCGTCGTGTTAGTAATTTCGGATTCGCTATTGATTCGAGACCGAATCAATTCGTTTGATAACGATTTTTGGTGTTGAAGGTGTATTATAATTTGCCGATAGTCGAGGTGCTAGTATTTCATCATGACGGATTTATTTCTTAAAACATTAGGATGTTTCATTATTGCAGCCCCTTTTCTTTTAGATAATTTACACATTTAACCCTTTGTATAAAATAAATTTCTATTTTAGTCCTCAAACCATTTTTCTTGACACTTTAGCATCCAAACTTGTGGAAAAGTTATTTTTCAGCCCAAAATTATTTGAAAAACATTTTTAGTCCACCAAATGCAATTTTTCTCGGCTAAAACCCTTATTTTCGCAATTTTTACACTTTTGGCCCAAAATAGAAAATTTTTGCATCTTTGGTCCCTTTTAAATATGAAAAGCATTTTTAACCCTTGAAATGGACTTAGAGCACTAGTAGTCCCCTGTTTTACAGAAAAATACAGTTTCAGCCCCTCTAAATTGAAAATCTCGCATATTGGGCTTTATTGGGTCGAAAAATTCATTTTTGGCCCATTATGCTTAAAATTTTCACATTTAATCCTCCAAAGAGAATATTTCCAGAAAAATACCTTATTGAAACTGTTTTGACTCATTTCATCCATCAGAATTTGTATTTTGTCATTATGGGCCCTTTAACTTCATATTTTTAACATTTTGAGTCCAAAAATGGGATTTTTAGCCCAATGAGTTCATTTTAACCAACTTGGTTATTTTTCTAGAAATGATTTGTGTGTAGTAATATGTTTAACACTTGTTTCATACATCCTAATGCAAATCTCGATTTTTAAGGTCTTTTGACTAGTTTCAACACCATAATCACATATAAACATGTAAATAAGCATAGAAATCATACAAAGCATACATATACTCATAGATCTACACATTTGCTTGTATTCCCCCCCCCCCCACAAAACCTATAAAAACCGAAAAATAGGGGGTATGAAGCTCACCTTTGGGTGTGGTTTCGGTTGTGGAGAAGAGATGGAAGAAAATGAGATGATTTTCGGCCTAAGCAACCTTTCCTTAGAAGATCTCGAGTTTAAGGGGTTCTAAGATACAAGATTATGATTTCATATGAGTTAAGAAGAGATTTTTGGATATCAGAAAGAGTCTAAAGTGTGGATCCAAGCATCAACTTACCTAGATGATGATTTTTGTGAAGAATCCCCCTTGCAAGGCCCTTGAATCTCGAAAATTTGAAGGGAAAGTGAAGGGATTAGTGGTGTATTCTTGAGAGTGTTTAGGTGAACGATTGTGTGTGTGTGTGGTACTCTCAGCCGGGAACAAAGAGGAGAGGAGAGAGGGAGTTGAAGTGACATTCCTAGATGCATGTTGGTGCATGCATGGAGGCATGTGAGGTATAAGTGAGGTGGCACTCCATAAGTCAACTCTTCACCCTTGGATTTGGGCTTTGGGCCGAGATTTTGAAAGAAAAAGGAGAGTATTGGGCTTTAATGCCCCTAAGCCCATATTAAAGTTAGGTTTGATGATTGTTGGCCCTATAAAATATAAGTGTGATTTTTATACTTTGTTGGGGTAGTTTAAGTTAATTATGGTTCATAATATTTAATTCATTTCATTCTAGGCCCATTGTGGGCCAAAATGTTGGAATAAATGAAAGTGAGTCCAATTAGAGCCCATTTAAAGGTTCTAAGCCCATGATAGTCAAATTGGAAGCTTATTGGTCCATTGAGTCCAATAAGGAAGTCCTAGTCCAAAATGGACCTAAACAAGAACTTCTAGGGTTTCCAATTGCTTGTTGACTATTTGTAGTACTTGTATGGTGTATTGGATTGAAATTTTGTTGTCATAGAGTAAGCATCATACAATCTTCTTGTGGATGAAGATGAACTCGACGAGTTGTTCATACAAGTCGGCGAGTCAAGGACTGGACCTGTTTATCAGTTGAAGGTGAACTCGACGAGTTGTTCATACAACTCGGCGAGTCGGATGAAGATTCAGTCGATGTCCATTTAGAAAGAAAACTCGTCGAGTCATCGCCTAACTCGATGAGTAGAGACGAGTGTAAGAACAAATGGAAGGATAGGGACTCGGCGAGTTGGCGAGCCAACTCGGCGAGTCAGGTCAACTGATAGTTGACTTTGACTTTGACTTGGTCAGGGGTAAAATGGTCATTTTACCCTAAGGACAGTTAGCAGTGTTTGATGGACTATTTTGTGGGAATTACAGCTGAAGGATATCTGGAGTAGCAGCAACAGATAGACAGTTCCCGTGTAGATCAACAGCTACTTCGAGGTGAGTTAACTTCCAGTAGCGGTGGGTCTACGGCCACAATGTTGGCCCATTAGTAGGAGTTGTATGATTAGATGATTGTCTATGTTATATTCATCTAGGTTTGCTACTACCTGATGTGTTTACGTGCTAGTATGATATGATGCTATGTGCTAGTGATAGTAGGGGGGATAGTCTCTAGTATCCGGTCGAGAGGACCGAAGGGGAGACCAGCACCCAGATATGCTAGTCAGCATCCGGTCGAGAGGACCGAAGGGGAGGCCGGCACCGAGATATGCTAGCCAGTATCCGGTCGAGAGGACCGAAGGGGTAGGTCGGGCACCCAGATATGCCTGACAATATATGTATGTTATGTGGTTGTATGGTATGTGGTACGATGGGGGAACTCACTAAGCTTTATGCTTATAGTTTTCAGTTTTGGTTTCAGGTACCTCTTCACCGAAGGGGAAGGAGCTGGCGCGATAGCGGCACATCATACACACACACACACTGTTTTCCGCTTTACGAACTTGTTTTGGGATTTGTACTCTGATATTTGGTTGTTTTCATATTTTGGTTTCAGACACGATGTATGTTATGAAATGGCTTGATCAGACAATGTTTTATTTACAAATGTTTTCTAAAGTATTGATTTAAAAACGAAATTTTTGGACGTGAAATTTTGGGTCGTTACAAAGTTGATACCTGCTTTTTGAGACCAACCATCACAAACCAAACGAGCTTTGTATCGCTCTAAAAAACCATCAGATGTAGTTTTATGGCGATAAATCCACATACTACGCACTATACTCATATTGTTATGTTTCGGGACTAACTCCCACGTTTTATTATCAATAAGGGCCTGAAACTCTTCTGTCATGGATTTATTCCAATCCGGGTTCTTAAGTGCTTCTATTGGGTTTTGAGGTATAGGGGAGATAGAGGTAGAAGTATGGAGGTTGTCGTGTTATTTAGGTTTCAAAATCCATACATACTTATGGTGTGGATAGTGCGAGTAGGAGGAACATGAGGTGTTTGTGAGGTGGTGGGTTCGAACCAGAAGGGGCTGTTGTGGCGGGCGATTGCTGAAGGGTAGGACGTGTACGACATGAATAAGTGATTAAGGGAGGTGATGGGGTGGCTTCCAGAGCATTATTGACAAACAATGGCAGAGGCGTAGCTGCGTAGGGGGCTGGTGGAATGGAGCCGGACCACATTAATGGGTGTGGGTCCGATGATAGTTTTGTTGTAGGAGTCGATTATGATAGTTTAAGATAGGGAAAAATAGTTTCATCGAATATTACATGGCGAGATATAATAATGGTTTTATTTTTCATGTCAAAACATTTGTACCTTCGATGATTAATGGGGTGGCCTAAGAAAATGCAAGGCCGGGAGCGTGTTTGGAGTTTGTGGATGGTGGGAGATGGAGTAAGTGGGTAACATAAACAACCGAAGGTACGAAAGTTCGTATGTTCGGAAATTCTGAACCCTAATCAGGGCAAGTGATGGATTTATTTGATAAAACCTTATTCCTTAACCCTCGGGGGCATATAACAATCATAACGATAATTA